CATCACCCCTGCTCCAGCCACAGCATTTCCCTACATCCATCACCATTATCCCTGGCATTTAATCATGCACAGCCCATGGATTTGCTGCAGGCATCAAGGATTTATTTCCCTGTATCCCAGATGCTCCAGTCCTGGGCATTCTGCCCTCCCACAGCGGGTCCTGGTGGATCCCAGCCAGGTCCAGGAAAAGCCTCCAACAGGCATGAGAATTCCCTCCTTCAGACACTTTTGTTCCAAAGGCCTGAAGTATGTGGGGCAGGAGGAAATTTTGGGGGCTGTGAGGAAAGGTTTGGTGATGCCATCCATGGCAACTGCTGGCGCCTGCTGTGCTCCAGCAGGCAAGTTGCAAACTACAAAAACACATGAAAGGCAAACCCAGATCCATCAATTAGTGGAAATAAATGGAAATTAAATCTCTTTTGAAGTTAAAGGGAAGGTGCTCAGCTGCCTGTGTGTGGCAGAGGCTGTGGGAGTGGGGGCTGCAGCTCAGGATGTGTGTCTGATATTAGTGGAGCACCAGGAGATACTCAGGACACCCCTGGGAGGAATCTTCCTCACATTTTAGATCTCAGCAGCCCTGAAAAGTTAAGCACTGAGCCCAAGGTCACTCTGTAGCAGCCCCATCGGTTGCAAATTGCCCATTCCTGGTGAATTCCTGCATGGCTCAGTGCTTTGTATTCAGGGGCAAACGACTCTCACTGAGGACAAGGGGTTTTAAAGTAAAAGAGGGGAGATTTAGATTGGTTTTTAAGAAGCAAGTCTTCCCTGTGAGGGTCGTGAGGCCCTGGCACAGGTTGCCCAGAGAAGCTGGGAGTGTCCAAGGCCAGGTTGGACGGACCATTCCCTCCTTCTCTGAGCCATCTCCTCCTGCCCTAAACCATCCCCTCCTGCCCCAAAATGCCCCCATCCTGTTCCAGCACAGGCAGTACAGTCCCAGAGTGTTGGGTTTTAGAATTTATTAGTAGGACAATCTGATTTATGCCCTGCTGACAAATGGGATGTTGTATTTCAGGAGTTTATCCCGGGGGAACAAATAAATAAACAGAGTGACGGAAACCTCATGAATTTTTTAAAGAGCTTATCAAAATCTGGTTTTTTTCCCCCCTTTTTCCACTGGCAGAGTGGCTGAAAGGGGAAAGATCCCCTCCATCTGTATTCTCTGTACTTCTTTTCCCTTCAATCTCTTAATCCTCTTCTTTCCAGCTTTAATCCACACCGTTGCCTCTTTCTTGTTTGGGTGAGTTTTTTATCAATTCCCTCCACCCCAAATAATCACAAACCCAACACCGAGGCACCGTGTCCATCCTCTCAGCCCTGCTGCTCCAGGGATCATCCACAAAAGCCTGGCTCAACATTACATCATCCCTGTTCCTATTTTTTTTTTTTCCCCTTTCCTTCCCCTAAAATGACCCTTGATTTGCAGCCGTGGGGCGTTCCTTGAGCTTGGCCATCCGTCACTGCCAGGTCCCTCCCCAGGGACTCACACCCCTGTCCTGACGTCTTAATGAGTTAATTAAGGAAAAGCAGGGCAGGAGAGGTGTGAGCCCTCTGGGGGATGCTTTCTGGGAGATGAATCTCCAGGAGATGCTCGTGTTATTCCCAGGTGACCATGGCCACCACCTGCTTCCCAGGGAAATACCAGAATTGTAGACAACCCTTGAGTATCTCACGGCGGTTGGAGCAGGACCATGGATGGATTCCCAAGCCAAAGAGCCACTTCCCAACATTCCCCCGCAGCTGCCAAGGGCTGGTCAATCCTTTTCAGCCCTGGGGATGGTGCCAGGGATGCCAGTGATACTCAGGGCACCACGACTCACTCACAACTCCTGCCTCCAACCCCTCCAGAGCCCAAAACTCACCCCTACAAGCCATTAAACTCCATCAGAGCAACCCTGCTTGCCCCCATGTCGGTGATTTCAGCTTGTTCCCAGCAAAGTTGTAACAAAGGGAAATGTATGTGAAAAAGAAGAGTGGGAAAGGCACTGGCATGGCCAGCAGGAGCTGATTATTCCACAGCATTCCTTATTTCCGGGCATTATCCCCCTTTCCTGCCCCACACAGCTCACGTGGAGCAGAGACAGGCACCAAGAGCATGAGATTTGCTAATTATTGACTCTTAATCAGCTGCTCCACGATAACTTGGCCCAGCTCCCCAGTCTAGAAGAGCCAGGACTGCAGGGAGCCACCTCCTCTGGGAGGTGGAAAACCACAGAGAAACACCCTGGGGGGTCAGAGAGGATAGAAATGAGTAAATAACTCAAATGAAGCTCCTTATTCTGCCTTTCCCTGGATGTCACTGCCTTAGTGCCTGGAAAGGTCTGCAGTCACCAGCCTCATCCTTGGAAGGAAGGCAAAGCCTCTGGGGGACTCCCAGGCCTGGAATGCTGCTGGTTCCTGGGGACCAGTGGGAGAAAACCCTCTTTCAGCTTCACCCGAGTTAAGAATCAGCTACTAAAAAATTGACATTTCAAATCACAAAAGGCCCAAACTGTGACTTCAAACCCAAAGTTGTTTTTCCACATCCTGGCTCGTTAGTGGAGCAGAGCAAGAAAGCACCAAGCGACCCATTTAAATTTTAGATTCTGACCTTTCTGCTTAAGATCTTTTCAGACATTCTGTTTACAGGTTTTCCTTTTTCTTTTTTTGGGCTGGCACTTCATAATCCTCAAAATGAGATTTGAGGCAGCTTTTTTAATATTATAATGCACCTCATCCTCTTTTTTCCCAGCCCTCCCGAGCCAGCTTTGTAATTAGGAGTTTCTAAAAAGACCATAAATGGAGGCTGCAGCCTCCTGCTGTGGTGGGGAGGAGGGGACAATGACTCCAATGTCCCCACCAGAATGGGGACCCAGAATTTACCCTTATCCAGACAAAGTCACCCCAGTGCCAGTGCACTGGGAGCCACCAGCTCCACTCCCCTGGATAAGGCTGTCGCCAGGAACCTCCACAATCAGTTTTGGCTCAAGATCCAACATCCCTGACGTAGGGATTTATCTGGGAACACTTAAGGCCAATGTCAAAAGTCCCTTGTCAACAACCAAAAGGGCTTTGGGGTCAAACACACCCTGGAAGCCCTGCAGAACTCTGTCCTTCTGGGGCAGCATCGCTGGGAGAAGCAATTGGGAGTCACTTCCTTTGCACCATAATCAATAAGGAAAATAGATCTGATGTCTCAGGAGGATTCTGAGAAGCTAAACTTTGTTCCAGAGGATGCTGGGCCCAGAGAGAAGGCACTGTGCACCCCATTAGGAGACCTGGAATTGCGAGCACCCTGCAGGGGAGCTGCAGAGGGAGAAGACACCTCTGTTTTTATAAAATACAGGACAGAACTGCAGTTTTTTGGGGGAATGTGGGACTGTTTGGAAGCAGGGAAAGCCCCTGGGTGGTGGGACCCCTTGATCCAGCCGATGGCAGGTCTCATCTCCCCTCATTCCCAGTGGTTCCCCACAGCCTTGTCCAGAGGGAGGGAATGCTGCCGGGGCTCTGCGTGGCCAAACCCAAGGAACCAAGTGCCAGGAGGATTAAAATAGTACAAAGAGCTCCTCAGCCCCCAGCCTGGAGCTGAGGCACCACTCCCAGCCTGGTTTCCTATGGAAACGAGCCGTGGTCCATCCGCCTGCGCCTGCCTGGGGGGTTTCGGATCCTCCTCGCACGTGGATGCTCCTGCATCCAGCATGGATTGAGCTGAGGATGGAGGTTCCCTTGGCAGGGACAGCAGCAGGATCCAACTTCCCCTCGGCTGCTGCTTTCCCACCTTGGGCTCCAGGGCTGGGGGCTCCCAATGGGATGCATGAACCACCGTGGGCACTTTCCTCGGGGTCCCCCCTGCTCCACTGGCACCTGGAAAATGTGCCCTCCGAGCCCTTATCCCTGTTTGCAGCAAAGCTGAATGTGAGAGAAGAGTCCATGGCCATGGAAGGTGCTGCCTTAATCACGTTCAGCACAAGGCTTTCCTCTGGATCCTTTTTTGATTATCTCCTGACCTGGAAGGACTCGGTGTGTGCCACAGCCCGGAATTCTGAGGGAGTGGGATCCCCAGCGCTGGGCAGGGGATGGAGCTCCCTAAAAATCCTCCCCCGTGCTTAAAGCTGAAGGGGTGGGGGAAAACATCCCCTGTGACCCTGATCTCTAAATTTAGAGTTGTAATTTTTCTCATTTCCAGAGCTTGGCCATGTACAAACTAATTTTTCATTGATCTGACACACACAGAAAAACCCTCATACCCAACATATATGCATATGTACACATATATACGCCATTATATATTTATTTTATTTAGCTCTAATATGCTTATTTATAGTGCTTATTAATACTATTTATACACATTTCATCCAGATAGCTCTACATTTCTATATTTCTATATATTTCTATTTTTCTATCTATATGTCTGTATTTCTATATATAGTTAATATTGACATTTACATTAATATTTGTTTTTTTATTTATTTATTTATTGAATGAATGGGGGGTTTTCTCCTTGTTGGCCCCGTTCAATAACTCTCTGGCCGATCCCGAGTGCCGGGACTGGGACAACGCTGGGGATGGAGCCGAGTCCTCGTGGGGGTCCAGCGTCACCTGCATCCCCAGCATCCCTGCCCGGCAGCCGCTTCCCGGCGCTTCCCGCTCCGCTAAAAAAGAGGAAAAAAATGTAAATAAATTTAAAAAAAAAAATCCAAACGAGGTGGCGCGGGGGCGGGAGGGAAGGGGTTAAAAGGCAGGCAGGCAGGCAGGCAGGCGGGCGGCGGAGGGAGCGGAGCCGCTGGATGGAGACGTTAAGTACCGGCGCCCGGCAGCGGCTGCGGGCAGAGCTGAGCGGCAGCCGCCGGGCCGGGCCCCCCCCGGCCGGCACCGGCACCCCCAGAGCCCCCCTGAGCGGCACCGCAGCCCCCCCGGCCGCGGGGCCGGCCCGCGGTGAGCGCCCGGAGCCCCCCCGGCCCCGCCGCTCCCGGGGGCGGCCGCGGATGGAGGGACGGAGGGATGGATGGAGGGATGGACGGATGGAGGGATGGATGGAGCGGCGGCGGCCGGGCCGGGCTGGGCCCGCGGAGGGTAAGGAGGAGGAGGGGATTGGGGGGGATAAAGGGGATGCGCTCGGGGTTGGGGTGCGGGGAGAGGGCACCGCGGTAAAACCGCGGGAATAGCGGGTTAAAAAAATAAAAAAAACCGCACCAAAATAACACCCCAAAAAAGAGAGGACGAACCAAAA